TCATCGGAGGGATCTCTTCTCAGTTCTTCTCCTTTTTCAAGGCTCTGTCTTTCCAGGAACACCCCAGATCAATATTTATTGAAGAACCTATGTAAGGAATTTCTTACGTCAATGAGATATCCATGAGAACATTATTATAATTCCTAAGAATAAAAAGCAAATTTTCCTTTTTTACATATGAGTAAAATAATTTCAAAAACATTGTACAAAATATACCTTTACAGCTTTTTCAGAACATCATTTTCTCATTTCTGCCTTTTGCCTTTCTTTTCCTTTTGTGAGAACTACACTGTCCATCGCACAACATTTTTCAGTAGCTGTCAAGACACAGCTTATTGAACCCCAGCAACTTTTCTTTATTATATTAGGCACTTCTTTTATTTTTGCCTCTATGTTTGACTACAAATTGGTTCTTACTTGTTGTAGTTTCACCTTAATGACAATTGTGTCTCTTATAGTTTGTATTTCACAAAATAAATGAAGACGTTACATGGTCTCTCTTTCTGTCAGTCCTTCAGTTTCCATTCCTTTTTCTGTCATTTCTTGTTTCAAAGATAGATGGGACGCTTCTCTTGATCAATAGCTGCTAAAAAGTAAGCATAAAGGATAAGACAAAGGGCAGGCTGCTCCGAGTGTCAGACATGGGCTGGGAAGAACCATATTCAAATTCTGAATTGACTCAGTGGATGCTTTCTGAACATAATCTTTGTCACAGGGTTCTTATAGGGCAAAAAGAATACAGAAAGAAGAAAAACACAAGAAATGCTTCTCGTAATTAAATCTTGGGTCACTTCTATATACCTACCTTTCTAGTTTTTCTCTTGTAAATATGGTCAGTTTGGTAAATTCCTGAGCCAAATCATGCTACTGACAATGAACACGTCATAATCATGAGCTAACTCAAAATTAAATTAAATGTATAAAAATAAATGAGGCACAAGGGATAATGACTGTAGGATTCACTGGATGAAATCTAAAAGGACAATTTTATAACAGGTCACTATAAAGAAATGACACTATAGTTTCCTCCTTTCAGTTTTCAGGACAAAAACCCCAAAGAAAATAATAACACTGTAGTGAAATTGTAGCCATATTTTTTGACTAATCCCCAATGCCTGGATTTATGCATCACATTAAGCAGGAAAAAAAAAAAAGTCTTATCCTTCTTTAGTGGTAAGTCTGAGCCCAGCCGACTGCTGCTTTTCTAACGTATACTTCCTTTGTATTTGTTGCTTCATCATTCTTTTCCCCCTTCA